TTTTTTTTTCTGATAGGAAATTACTTTCCTGTGAGGCTGTCATTTTGCCTCCTTTATTGTAGTCTACTGTCAGACGTCGGGAACGTGGGCTCCGGCCCCCGGCTCCTTCCTGCCTGCCCTGTAGGAGTTCAGCTGAGCAGCTGCAGTCCCCTCCTCATCAGGCTGGGGCTGGGTTGTCCCTGTGAGTCAAGGGTCGGGAGGTTCCAGTGCTGATCCCCAAGCCCAGTGACAGAGCTTAAGTGTTCAGCTGTGGAGAGGTCCCCAGAAGTGGGTCCCCAGAGTGTCCCCATGGGCCCCGACATCCCCGTCCGTTTGATTTTATGGCATACTCTACTTTTCCTAGATGAGCCTCAAATGAATTAAAAGGAGCTCCACATTTTGGAGACCTCTGTGTGACGGTCAGAAGCCATCTGGTTGTCAGAGCCCGTCCTGATGGGCAGCACTGTCTGTTGGCTCCTTTTGGAAGCAGAGAGCAGCAGCTCTCCTTCCCCACCCAGATGTCCATGGAGGGAGGCCTCTCTGTCCCTCGCCACCCCTTCAGCACATTTCAGGCTTCTCCACAGAGCATCCAGGACAGCCCCTGCTGCAGACTGGCCTCTGTGAAGCTGTATGTGCCATTCAGAGTCACCTCCTCTTCTCCCCACCCAGAAGTGCCTCATTTCCTCCCTCTCTCCCCAGAAGAAATCAATAACTTCTTTCCCCTTCTCCAGAGACAGGCTGTCAGCTTCTCCTTCTTTCCCTCCACCCCTCAGGGAGTTGCTGATCTGAATGAATTCACTCTCCCCTCCAGTCCAAACTGGCCCTTTCTGGTACAAAAGTCGGCCGATTGCCCTTTCCCCTGGGCTGTAGAGATAGTCTGATATCTAGCTGTCCTCTCTGTCGCATACAGGACATTCCCAAGCCAAATGGGGTAGCTGAGAGGGTGGGCCCTCAGCCTGGCCTTTGGCCTCTGAATCACTCTGATGTCTTTTGCCAGGTTCCTCCTTGTGACCTCAAAGCTCTAATATTTAACAGCCATTTACCTTAGCCAACTCGTTCTTCCAGCCCATGTCTGACCAAAGCCACGCAAGTGCTTGACTCTCACGGACTAGACCTAAGGAAACTTACTGAACCTTCCAAAGGAAAAAGCTCAATAAACACATCAAGTACAAGAAACTAGACTAAAATATCTAGACAGAGAGATAGATAGATAGATAATTTTTTTTTTTTTTTTTT